CCCCCCCCCCCCCCCCCCCCCCCCCCCCCCCCCCCCCCCCCCCCCCCCCCCCCCCCCCCCCCCCCCCCCCCCCCCCCCCCCCCCCCCCCCCCCCCCCCCCCCCCCCCCCCCCCCCCCCCCCCCCCCCCCCCCCCCCCCCCCCCCCCCCCCCCCCCCCCCCCCCCCCCCCCCCCCCCCCCCCCCCCCCCCCCCCCCCCCCCCCCCCCCCCCCCCCCCCCCCCCCCCCCCCCCCCCCCCCCCCCCCCCCCCCCCCCTCAAAACAAAAAATTAATTTTTTTTTTTTTGTTGGTTCTTTGTTTTGTGTTTTGTCAGGAGGAAGGTACAAAGTTAGAGTACAATTCTGTAAGGAATTGCAAAATGAAAGGAAAAGGTGGATTTAGAGCTTCTTCCTTCATCTATGGTAATGTATTTGTATTAAGTAATAAATTCATTAAATGTATACCAATAGCAAAAGGTATCACTTTCTTCCCAAAAATGCAAGTTCCGCCATCAGCACACCCAACAAGAAACATATACTTGATGTGTTGCACTGTAAAAATTCAAAACCCATAAAGTTGAAATTCAATTTGATTTTAATTTGTAGGTTTTGTGGGATTAGACAACATTGGATTTGTAGCAAACATGGTGAGCATGGTACTATACTTGTCATTCAAGATGCATTTCGACCTGAGTGGTTCAGCCAACACGGTCACCAACTTGTTAGGCTCAACATATTTGCTCTCTATAATTGGTGGTTTCATTTCTGATACTTACCTCAACAGATTCAACACCATTATCATTTTTGGAACTGCTGAAATACTCGTAAGTTTAATTTATTTACTGATCAATTGATGTAGAATTATGGATGAGTTATTAATGGTTACATACATTAATTAGGCATGGGCATTGATGACGATTCAAGCTCGTTACTCATTTTTGCAACCAAAGGCAAATTCATTAGAAGGTGGAATAGCAGTATTGTTCTATGTATCAGTGTGTTTGTTAGCATTGGGTACTGGTGGTGTTAGGGGAGCTTTACCAGCATTGGGTGCAGATCAATTTGATGAGAATAATTCAAAAGGAGCAGTTGGAAAATACTTCAACTGGCTATTGTTAAGCTCAGTGTCAGGTTCAGCTATTGGTGTAACAATTATTGTTTGGATTAGCACTAATAAAGGTTGGTGGATGGGTTTCCTCATTAGTTTTGCTACTACTTTTCTTGGTTTCATTATTTTTGTCTTTGGAAAGCCATTCTATCAACTTCAACTTCCTGCTCAAACCCCACCACTTACAAGGATACTCCAGGTATCTTTCTTTTTTATTTTATTCATCTTACACTTTAATAAACATGTCCTTTAATTTGGTTATCCGCTCATATCTATGCCCTTTAAATTTTGAGTGTACACAAAATTATATAAAGTTGAACAAGCAGTACTAGATACTCCCTCCGTTCCATTTTATGTGAGGTAGTTTGACTCGGCACGGAGTTTAAGAAAGAAAAGAAGACTTTTAAAATTTGTGGTCCAAAATGATTGATATAAATTTGTGTGACTGTAAATCATTTCATTAAAAGTAAAATAGACATTTTATAGTTAAATTGTTAATTAATATAAAAATGTGTCATTCTTTTTATGACTGACTGACTAAAAAGGAAAGTAAGTCACATAAATTGGGACAAAAGGAGTACATGTTTTCTATGTGGGGTCTCACACGGATTGCCAAGTTGTCTACATATACTACAACATATAAAGGATTTAGCGATAATAATAAATATGAGTATTTATAACCATCACTCGATATAAATGTTTAGCGACAGTGAATGCAATGACATAATTCAATTCCCGCAAGTGCTACTTGTTCAATTTTATGTATCTACTTAGACACATCTAAAATTAAAGGATATAAATGTCAATTAAAGCCAAATTAAAAGATATGTTTATGTATAATGTCAATTAATTAACGATTTATTATAATAATAATAATAATTATATAGGTTATCGTTGCGGCGATCAGAAACCGAAAGCTGCAATTACCAGATAACCCTCAACAATTGTATGAGAAAGACTCAGATTCATCAGACCCAAAAATTGCTCATACTAATCAATTCAGGTAATGTAATAATTATATCTTCACTAATTAATTAAGGCCTATATATATAATTTGAATAGAAGAAAATGACGTTTTACACGTCTATTATGTGTGAAACTGAAAATCTCTTGTGCATGGATGCAGGTGTTTAGACAAAGCTGCAGTTGTTCCAAAAAGTGTTGAAATAACAGAATGGAGAGTTTGCACAGTGAGTAAAGTGGAAGAAGTGAAAATAGTAACAAGAATGTTGCCTATAATAGGCAGCACCATTATAATGAACACATGTTTAGCACAGCTTCAAACATTCTCAGTCCAACAAGGTTATCGAATGAATCGTCATTTTGGTTCCTTTGAAGTACCAGCACCATCAGTACCAGTCATTCCATTACTCTTCATGTGTATTCTCATACCTATTTATGATTTATTATTCGTCCCATTTGCTCGTAAGATCACAAATCATCCCTCTGGAATCACACAACTACAACGTGTAGGCGTTGGATTAGTCCTATCCATCATATCTATGGGTATAGCTGCATTGGTTGAGATAAAAAGGAAGAATCAATCATTGAAAAATCCATTGCAACCTATACATGTGTTTTGGCTATCTTTCCAATATGCAATATTTGGTATTGCTGACATGTTTACATTAGTTGGAATGCTTGAGTTTTTCTACAAAGAAGCACCTATTGGAATGAGGTCACTTTCTACTTCATTTACATGGATTTCACTATCGTTTGGATACTTTTTGAGCAGCGCGTTTGTTGACATTATCAACTCAGTTACTAAAAGAGTTTCTTCAAGTAAAAAAGGATGGTTGGATGGACAAGATTTGGATCAGAATAATTTGCAACTTTTCTATTGGTTTTTGGCTATTCTAAGTTGCCTCAACTTTATAAATTATATTTATTGGGCTTGTTGGTACAAGTATAAATCAGATGATCATCAGACCTCAGCTAATGATATTGTTTTGCCTAAATCAGCTTCTGTTAGTAGGGTGCCATTTCTCAAGGTAGATCATGAAAATGATGTCACACTACAAGGATTGGAGGATCACAAGAATTAAATGTGTTTTTAATTAAATGCTTTGTCTTTGTGGGATGTGTTTTCATTCTGTTTGAGTTGATTGAAATTTAATCAGATTGTCAAAGCTTGAAATTAAATGAAGTATCTACTGTTCATTCATCTCATGTGTTTTAGTTTTCAAATTTTGATGTCATATTAACTAAAATAATACTAACATTTTTTTATGGTTTACAAAACCAAATATAGATATAGTGTGTGACTGTGTGTGGTCAAATTAAAAGATATTGCATTAGACACATCAAAATTCAGTAAATACATGCCTCACACGTTTCCTTACAAAGACAACTCAACTGATTACAGTTATGCCCTTTCGCGACACTTCCATATTATTAAACTACGCACACTTGTTGAATCCTTCTCTTCTCACCAACGTGAAAGTTACATTTCCAACAATTTTGATGTAGCTCCTCAGAAGACACGAAAAAGGGGTTAAAAAGGGAGGAAACATCTAATATTACCACCATCAAAAAGGACAACAGACAACAGCCTAGGACATATATGGCATCTCAATAAACATGGATGTCAACGCCAATACTTCCCAGCTTCTTCGTTGAATGATAGCGAATCCAGAGGTATGAAAGCCGAGAAATTGCTGCCTGGCGAGCAACTTGAACTCCTCTACATGCAAGCTTTAAATCCACTAACACTTCGTTACGTGTTAGATCTGACTCAACACTTTCATCATATCCATCAAGGTCACATTCAGAGACTAGAACTACTGAGCCATCATCAAAGACAGCAACTTCTTTTTGAGCTGGAAAGTCAAGCATTTTCGATGAATTATCATCTCCACAAACATCACTATCAGTATTTTTTACTCTTGCGTAGTATTCTTGAACAGCCTGCATATGTATGACGTTTTTAACTTCAGAAAAATAAGAATAGAAAGGACAGGGAATTCTAAGCTATCAAGGAAAGCATTTTAAATACAGTAATATATTCTTCTTCTTTTTGATAACCAAGAAATCCATTGGTTCCAGCTTCCATAAAATGGTGGATTAAACGCCCTCTCATCTACCCCTTCTCCACTTTCAATTCCAGTTTTGGTTCACCAGCCAGGATTCAACTCATGATGGCGTGAGTTGTACTATTGCTTTTGTCATTGAACTATAGCCCGAGGGCAGTAATATATACATATCATAAAAACACAAGCACACAAATTTAAAGTCGTGAGGGACCGGCTGACATATTCTAACTCAGATGCACAGAATTGAGCAAGAATATAAGTGCATTGCACTTGGAACAAAAACAACAAGAACAATTAAACCTCAATGCAGAACAGGTATCCTAGGTAAGAGCATACCTGCCACTGAGAGGGGGCCAACAACACCCTTGGTCTGATGGATCTGACGTAATCATAAGCATCCTCAGGTGTCATGTCCTTGTGTTTGACCTGCTCAAGAGGCATTATTAGAACACAAAATAGCCAAAGCAGATTATAATTGAACAGTCTTAGGTGTGGTGCCCACCAGGTAGCAAAGGACAATGGTTGTACTACGCCCACGGCCAGCCTTGCAGTGTACGTATGTTGTCTTACCACAAGATGCATTACCTTCAAAGCCACAAGCATTAAAAGTATGAACGGGCAATCAGAGATAATGCAATGAAACTGCAAAGTCCGGCAATGTAAGATATATACTTGAAACCATGATATATGAAAACTGGGAAAAGATTCTTACCATCATTACTTACTTAAGAGCTGGGTGAAAAATACTTACTGTGGATGAATTCTATAGCTCGGTCAATATCTCCATCTGATGGTGCAAAAAGATAGTCTCTGGTAGGAATCACCAAGTGATTGATGCCATGATCCTACAAAAAAAAAAAAAGAAGAGGGGGCATCAATGGAATGAAAAATTGTTGCAAATCACCACCTTTTAAGAATGATAGGAAACGTTGGAACCTCTCGCTAATGTGCACTACTTACATAACATTAGGCACAAACATATGGGACCAAGTATGTTTTCTCTAGTTGTAATTCATTCCTTCACATACTACATGCTTTAATTAAGAGTTTCACTCAAAATATGTATATAGACATATAACAATCCAGTCATCTTCTTTCAATCCTGTTACTGACCTAGCATAGTAAATAACAATCGCTTCTTAACAAGCAATTTTAATACATAATGAAATGTAATGACTAAAAAGATGGTGATAATAAGAAAGTGGGCTTAGACAGTACAAGATATAATGACGTTGAGACCAAAGTCTCATATGATTCATTCAACGTAACCACTCCAGCAACACCTAGAGCCTTCAAGCGAGGGACATCAGCAGGAAATGGAACAGCTCCTAACAGTATGAACTGAAAAATAGAAAATTAATCAATAAAAACAAACAACACCTCAATCAACTGAAAACAAAAAGTGAAAGAAAAGATAAATGGTTAGACCCCAATGTATGATTCAATATATGCATTTTACTTTTGAGAGACAATACTTCAGAGATATGATCTGCTCTGATAAAACGACAGATAAGAAAAGAACGAACTGAGAAAACTCTAAAACCCACAATATGGTAGTGCATGAACAAATATTAACAACAGCTCGAATTCACATGGTAGCTGTATATAAATGAAAATTTTGTTGAAAGCAGCTCGAATCAATAAACCAGAAGTGCTGACAAGTCTACAAGAACTGCAAATATTTGGATCAAGAATTGGGAGGGGAGAGAAATTGGATAACGAAAAGGAATGGAAGTGAAAGGACAGTGGCAAAATAAGAGGGACAGGCTATTAAAACTCTTTCCTAAAAGGATACTAATTTTCTTCTCCTCGCATTTGCTTTACACCCAATTCAAAATACTTGTGTAACTCTTTTGTATCCACTAAGTTCCTTTTTCATTCAGTACAATTTGGCCCAACAACAACATACCCCATGAAATCCCACGTAGTAGGGTCTGGGGATGGTAGAGTGTACGTCGACATTACCTCTACCTCGTTGAGAGGTTGTTTCTGAAATACCCTCTGCTCAAGTAAAGCAAATCATAGTAGTAATGGAAAGAAAAAACGACAATGGAGAAATACATGACAACTGATAGGAAAGCAAGGGGGAACATTTATGTAAGGAACCGTAACATCAACAAGAAGGTGTGATTACCTAAACCTAGTAAACAGCACATGATAATAGATACCAAAAGCCCAAGATTGCATTAATAGGCTAATACTATGACAAACACGGTGCTCTAGGCTGCCACCAAGCCAGAGACTACATGAATAGGCTAATACTAAGACAACGTTCGATTAGCTTCTAACCTTCTACCCTTATCCTGACCTCCACACCCTCTTATCTAAAGTCATGTCCGTGGTAAGATTAAGTACAATCTGGCCATATCACACAAATTGGTGCCACTGTCAGGTAAAAGAATCCTAAATTTTATACTTCTTGAACACCCAGTCATTTTAATCTTGAAATGTAAAAACTTAGGAAACGGCTTCTTCAAATATCACAACCTTTCCCGAGAAAGCCAAGGACAAGGGGAGTAAACAGGATGATGATATGCAATCACCTCCCGCACAAAATAAGAGAATACACAGCGAACACATAATTTACAACTCTAAATTGACAGAAGAAGGGTAGAGGAGAATAGGTACAGAATTAATCAAATTCACCAAAACCAAAGCAGCTAAAAGTATTAGAGAATCTGTGAAAAATGAGCATTATAAATTAATGTCAACAACTGTTACAGTTGCACATCTGGACCTCCAACACTGCATTTCTACAACGGTGACATAGAAAAGGTATCAACTTCTTAGAAAACCTCTTATATTAAATACTCAGCACTAATTTTCCATGTTAAGCACCATAGCAATGAGAGGACGTTAGAGAAAACAATCCAACCATATGCATTGCAACTTAATACTAAGATAGCATATCCTATAATGGATCTCTCTGACAACCACTGAAGTTTCTCTTATTACAGCAGTTGCATCTCATAATTTTGTACTTACTCGTGATAAATTTTGAGCCAAGCTACTAGTTTTAGAGCCTAACAATCTACAAACTGATTTATGAACACCTAATGGGAAATTAAAAGGATAACTAAACATCCCATAAATATGTGGTCGAAATATTAGAAGCATAAACTCTATATAAAAGTGAGTAACAAATCACGCCCTAATGTAGAAGGTGAGTTTGAGGCAGTAAAGGTTAAAGAACTTTTGAGAACATTCACATCTATAACTTGATTTTCCTTTAGGCCTTCCCAAGTAATATTATTAATGGAATATTTGAACAAGTAACATGGACAATAGTTTATCAAGTTAAAAGAGTGCAGCTCCAATTGTAGCTCTCGATTGAAGTTACTATCAAGAGAGCAAAGCACAGATGAAACAAATGATAAGGGAGGGATAATCTCCTCGACGCCAGCCAAGAGGTTGGATTCAAGTCACCAAGGGAGCAAAGTGGAAAAAGCTACCGTTGTCTCCTTGACGGGGGCAATGGGTATTGCATATGGGGTTTACTGTTTAAAATGACAAAGAAAGATAACAAATGAAAGAGCAATACTAAGAACTTGATCCTGGCTTACTTGGACTAGTCAAACTATGTGTCACAACTTAAAGTCAATAACATTTACTTCTATTATAAATTGAAGAAGTTTAATTACCAACACAGGAGATGTTAGGAAAAATGACATTGACCAACTATTATTATACAATGCAATATGAAATTAGAACTTAAAATCAATATATACATAAACAACAACAATAATTTGTAATAGTAAGCAAGATGAATACAGATAGGTACAAATGATACCTCATCAACCCTATCCCACCATCGAAAGTCGGTCTGAATCTTGTTTCTCACAACATTATACAGCAATGTAGGATAAAAAAGAGCACGAGCCCCTGCTCCAACCAAAGCCCTTTTCGTATCTGAAACAGCCAATGGACCTTCACAAGTATCATCACAAAACTTCTCCTCCATGTTTACTACTTCCCCCTCCTCCTCCTTCAGTTCTTCAATATACATTTTTCTATTTTGCACTAAACAAAACCCTCAAAAATAATTTGGATCCAAACTTAATAAAAAGGTCCAATCTTTATTCCTATACAGTATGAATAGAAAGACCCAGAAACCTGAAAAAATGAATTAAGTAATTAAAAAGCGCATGAACAGAAGAAATTAGAAACCCAGAAAAATAAATTCAATTCAGACACCAGTTTACTCACCAAAACTGAAATCAAATGCAGCAAAAAACTAAACTGGACAAAAATTGCACATATTACAACAGCAAGATAAAACCCAAAAAGAATTGGATTGAAGCATGTATCTTTTCCAAGCCATATTTAATTTAATAACAAGAACAAGAAACAAGAAACTCAATCCCCCAAAAGGGAAGAAAATTGATGTATGGACTAAAACAATAAAATCAAGAAACAAGAATTCCAAAAAGAAAAAAAGAAGAGAAATTTGATGGGGTGAAGAAAGGTTCTTGGTTGTTGGGTGAAATCTAATTGTTCAAAGGGCATATAGAGTGGGTGGCTTTCTCTCTCTAACAATTTTTGTGACTTTCTCTCTCTTCTTTCTATACCTTTCCTTTTCTCTCAACAGAAAACTCTCTTGTCTATGAGCCCCTGCACATACAATCAATTTTAGAAAACACTCATTATTTTGTAAAATCAGATTACCCTTAATATTAATTATTCATTTCTTAATTTAGATATAAAATTATATACTTTCTCGGTGAAGTTTTCTAAAAAAGATTCAATATTCAAAATAATTGAATTATTCAGAGTTCGAGATGGATATTTGAAAATAAAATCATAATTTTAAATGAAGTTTTATATTTTCTAGGAGAAAAATTACACTACTGCTTATAATGGAAATTATAATTTAAATTATGTTCAGAATGTTTTTTTCCTTAATATGTGTGCATTGTTTCACAAATTCAGATAATCTAGAATAGAGGAAATATCAATTAATATTTATATTGTGGTAAAATAATACTATAAAAAATAATTAACCAGTCATAATAGGTTAACAATAAAATTAATATGATAAAAAATTATATAAGTAAAATCCTTCAAAATTTATTACATGCCATAATAAAATTTAAGAAAGGAAGTTAGCATATGGTTTATAACGGCAGAGTTGATTTTCTGGTTACCCGTCTTTGGAGGGAAACGTTATGGATATGGAAGGAAACGTATGAGGTCTGCACCTAATAAGATAATACTGAATATAGTATAATATTTTTAATAATTTGTTTGAAATATAAAATAAATTTAAATAGAAATATGTAAGTTTCTAAAATTAGTGGATATTAATCGCAGTCAGTTGCTAAACAAAGAAAGAAGTAAAAAATGACGAATGTAAGGTTTAATTTTTCAATAAATAACTTGATATATAAAATAAAGGAATAAGTTTTGTATAATGAGTTTCTAGCTTAAATACCCCTTTTCCAGAACTCAATTTTTAAAATATTTTCATGTACCTTTTGTACTAGTGTGAGACCTTCAATCAAGTAAATTTGGCTGCATATATAATATGCGCGGACACATGTATAAATCTTTTTTTCTATTTTTTTTTAAATCTTTTTATTTTCTTTATCTTCTATCTAAACTAAGTTGATATACATAATTTTTAATTTTTTTTACCTTGTATTTAGTTTTTCTTTAACTTCATTCATTGTTTTTTTTTCTCCTTTTTAATTGATTTTTATTCTTTTATTTTCTTTGTCTTTCCTTTTGATTTAATTTCAACTTTAATCCCAAATGTCTTGAACTTAAAATAAGTTAATTTAGGATAAATATCAAAATACGTTTAAAAGAGAAAAGTTAAATCTAAGGACACTTTAAAAAAAATATTACTATTATTTTAAAATAAAATATACTTAATTTTTAAAAAATAATTAAAAGTGAAGAGATAAAGTTAATAAAAAGGAAAAGAGTAAAAAAAATTAAATAAGGAGGAAAATACATATTTTACAAAGAAAAAAATAAAATATATATAAGTTTTATTGTTTTAATGTCAATAATTATATGTACTAACTAATTGTGAATAATCAATTAAAAAAATATTTCCTTTTTCATTGTTCACACACTCGTATTACGAAATACTCATTTATGACATATTTATTTTATTATAAAATAATTTAGGGATAATAGAACTCTAGTTAAGTGTAACTATATCTATCGATAGAATTTCTGACATGGTTTTAGGAGATATTTATGCTTTATGGATAGACATAGATTTACATATTTCAACCAAACAGGAGGCAGAAGGAAAGAAAAATGAAATATGGAAGCAGAATGTTAATATGAAGATATGTTAGGGGTTTTATTGTCAATATCTAGTAGTTGTGTATACAAATTCCAAAGTGAAGGGAAGATAAAGTTGCTCTGTATTAACATTTGTTTGTTTTTCCCCAAATAAACGACAGAGCTGCCATTTTTCCATTGCAATTGAGTGACTGTTAATGCTCTGAAAGCTTCAATCTTTTCCATAGAAAGGACAAAGTCATGCTTCTCAATCTGTCCAACATTTCTTCTCCATGTAATTCCTCTCTTCGCTTTTGACACTTTTACATTACTTTTGCTTCAGAAATTATTCGAATTGTTTATCTTCTTTGTGTTTCTCCTCATTGATAGCTGTGCTATGATGAACAATGTGAATGCCTTTTTCTTGTTTGATCTCCCTTTCACCTTAATTAAATGCTATATTATCCCCCCAAGAATTGTCTCCAAATTACTATTCTCTCTGTTTGTAATTACTTGTGTGCTTTTGAATTGACACACCTATTAAGAAAACAATAATTGATACAGTGAGTTTATCATTTTATCCCTATTAATTATGAAGTGAATCAATTAATAAACTTAACATTTTCAAGAAGTTCTACCTTAAAAGTAGTTAATTGTGTCATTTCTTAATGTAATTAGGGACTACTAAAGAAGGAAATGTGGACAAGTAATTAAGGAATGAGGGAGTAACATTTAGTTCTAGCTGCACTTACAGGTTTAGCTACAGGAATTGGCTCCACTTGATACATTTTATTCCAATGTTTTTTAAATCCTCAGAAAGCACGTGCCTCTTTGCCTTCATAAGATAGGGGTAAAGCTGTGTATCCTCCCCAGACCCCACTTGTGGAAATACACTAGGTATGTTGGTGTTGTTGGAGAGCATGTGCCAAGGCATTCGATATTGGGAGGATTCATCATAATTAAGTAGTTTCATATGTGTTGTTTAACTAACTATTCTCCTTTTATCTAGGCTTTGGACTAGCAATGTGAACTCATATAGGTTTATATGTGAACTTAGGGAACAATTTTCTCTAGGAAGTTGAAATTATTGTTTATACTAATGGATTAACAGTATTCCTAGCTCAATTTTTTAGCATCTTCTTAACCATGTCAAGTGGTGTGTGTATTACTTCCTGTTTTCAATATTTGATATTGACAAAGAATTGAACTTGAGCTGAGGGTCCTTCGAAAACAACCTCTCTATTTTCACGAGGTAGCGATAAGGTATGCGTATGTACGCTCTACCCTCCCCGGACCCCATTTGTGGGATTTCATTGGGTATGTTGTTGTTGTTTCCATGTATTTTTTGCCATTAGAATACAATATAGGGTCCTTTAAGCTACATTTGCCAGCCTTTGATAGGTAATCTTTATGGTTTGTCATGCATAAATCCCTTTATTAAACTACTTGTTTTATTATCAATTTAGATACTTTATCAGCTTGTCATACAACTCAATCTTTTCCCAGACAGAAGTCAACATTCCAGTGTTGCTTACCTGCCACATTACAAGATAAAAGGTAACCTAACTTTTAACCACAATGTCAATCTTTTGTAGCTGAAATACAGAATATTTTCAGGGTTAGGGAACAGAAAGTAAATGTATTGCATTATGAGGACAATATGAAGCGCAGATCTCTCCTGTTTTTTCTGATTACATCCGGCATATCTCCCGCTTTTCCAGCTTTTGGGAAAACAAAGAGCAAAAACCCGTATGATGAAAGACGCTTACTAGAACAGAACAAACGGATCCAGAGAGAAAATAATGCCCCTGAAGAGTTTCCCAGTTTCATCAGAGAAGGTTTGTTTACCCATGAGGGACTGTGTGGGTGGGAAAGACCATGTGTAGTACCCAAATTTAAGACATCAGTAGTTAGACATCCATTTCCTTCTTTTGATACCACGATACTTTATAATGTGATAGTGACTCTTCAAATCCTTTTTCAGGTTTTACAGTTAAAGTAGTAACGCCTGACAACTATGAAAAGCGTGATTCAGGTCTTATATTGCGGGATTTTTCTGTTGGTGAAGGTGATTGCCCAAAGGATGGTCAACAGGTTTTCTTTCATTCTTTGTTCCTGAAAAACGTGATTTACTTTTATTAAATTGTCATTTATTTTGAATATATATATTCTATTGGGAAAATAGTATACTGTTCGTCTTTCATGTTACATTCATTTCTCTACCGGAGACTTGGAACCAATATGGTACATTCATGGTAAAAAAATGCATTTCCTTTTTTGATCATTTTTTATATGCTTTATTATGTAATTGTTTTGTTTGTATGTTATTGCATTCATAAGTTTCATTTGATCTTGTAGAAACTGTCGCAGCACAGGTCATTGCATCTAGTACTGTAGTCTTTTACCATTTTGGTTTGTAATTAAGATGATCCTTGGATGTGTGTATTAACATATCTTACTCTTCCGATAGTGGTTTTCCTCTGTCCAATGTAGACTTATGTTAGACATACTTCAGTGATGGGTGATAATTGTTAGTTGTTTCTTTATGGATTTTTGAGTACCAAAACAAAATGTCACTTACTCGATATAATTCAATATTAACTACCTGGGCTCCTTACGTAGTCATTGCTAAACTGAAAGCTTGGTATGTCACTTTGATCTTTCACACCTGAGTTCTATGAAGTTGACTAAGGACAATCATTGTGAAATCTATTTTCCGTCAGAGAAAGGGGACTGTTTTAAGTGTTATGTAGTTATTCTGACATATGTATGAATGCAAAAGAGCTGACTAGGCTGGTTATATCATTACGAAGCTCTGTTGGGCTTAGTACAACTTGGCACCTCGACTTAGCGATGATCCTTTTGTATTTCACTTTATTTTTCCTTTGAAAAAAGGACATCAGATTACAAATTAAAGAGAAAGCAAGGTTTAATTGCATTAAAAAATGATAAACAGATTACTTTTCGCTGATTATTTGCATTGCTGCATTCATACCCAAATTTCTTTAACCATTGGCAGGTGACTTTCCACTATATTGGTTATAACGAGTCTGGACGTCGTATTGACAGCACATACATTCAAGGTTCTCCTGCAAAGATTCGGATGGGCACTAAAGCATTGGTCCCAGGTGATCTAAGCTAACACACAATCTTGTAACATCTTTACCTCTCAGAGAAAATTTTGTAATAAGCAGAAAAGTATGATTGCAGGTTTTGAGGAAGGAATTAGAGACATGAGACCTGGGGGCAAAAGGAGGATAATCATACCTCCAGAACTAGGACCTCCGGTAAGTGTCCATAAATCTCCTCTTCAGTTGGATTCTTTTATAATTAGTGTCAGCTAAAGTTG